CCATCTGTACAACCTAGTTGCCGAATATACGACCCCCCCCCCCGTTATTCACTCTCCTTTCTTTCCCCTCCCCTCCCCTCTTCCTCCGACTCCACAGCGACACCAGCAGTTGATCCTCCTCCCATTCACTCTGAAAAAGATCAACTACTCAACTACTGGTTTCGGCCGATGAGCAGACGGATTTCTGAACCGAATTATATAGTCTGGTCTCTCTTTTCCAAACCTGCAGGGACTAAAACCTAAGTGCAACATTGCTAATTATTCGTTGAACGTGGATGACAGGACATCTGGACTAGATTTCCGTTCTGTTTTTACCACATCACCACCGTTCACCGCAAGCAGTAAATGAAGATAATGCTCTTGAAAACGATTTAGTAGGGCCATTGAACGATGTCGTGCGTGTTAGCTATATAAACCGGACCTAATCGATCCTGACTGAGTTCCGTTTACTGGTAGCCCTGGGAAAGTACAGCCAAAGCTCAAACCGTTTTCCTGCCTCCTCTCCATTATCATGTGTTAGTCTCCGAAGATTCACCAGTCTTCATCTTTTCACCTTATGAGCTTCACTTTTCATCATTTCAAAATTCTAAGGTTCACGCCTAGAGGGTCGGAGGAGGAGGTGGGGACAAGGTCTTGTTGCTAATCTAGTCTTCATAGGTCCACAGGTCACTCACCACTAAAGAAGACAGGTAAATGCGATGTTGCACCATTTTTGCAGCACAAAAGCGAGCGACGAGGGGCACCCACCCGTTGTTCTCCCTATTTAGTCCTGACCCAACTTCATTGGTCATTACCTACCTAGCCACAATAACGAGAGACTTGCATAGACCACAACATCGCTGTGCGGGACCTTGTCCATCCATGCACTTTGCTTTCATTCTGCTTGCATTGATGCCGGCCCGCTAGGGGTTCACCGGCGGCGGTTTCTTCTGCTTTTTCGGCCTCTTCACGCGGTGGTGTGAAGTCCTTTTCCGGCGCATATCGGCTTGGGCGAAGGGGGGTGGGGCTTCTCACCTCCCATCGACGGGTCGAGCCAACTGCAGACGTGTGCAACCTTGTTACCACGAAATGATTTTAGCCGAAATTCGTAGAGACCACTTATCAACTCTTGCAAAAATGCTTATCAACTCTCGTAAGCCATGAACACGTGAATGCGAACTGGGAAAACGGAGAGAAGCAAGACACTACCTCACCCCTCTCTCTTTCACCCAATAGCTGCGAACTAGAACTGCTAGAACTGCGCCTCCGTAAGATGATCGTCCATTCCGTAAAGTCCTGCGTGGGCTTTAACACGTTCGAGGCGGCGTGTACTCCCCGGAGTACACGCGGAAACCCCTGTTCGTATTGTCAAATTGTAAATAAATCAAAAAAACAACGGCCATTAAGTTCGTGAGCGACTGGTTTTCGCCGAATGTGTTAGAAACTGTGCGCGACTAGCGGCTTGTGCAAAATCTTAATGTGCTTTGGACCAACGTGACCAGGGTTTCTCTTAAACAATTCTGCCGTCGCGGACCCTGAGGTATGCCGTATTCAGTATCGCTTGGCCGCAACCTTGCCTTTCGAGAAAGCTGGCAGTTCGTCATATTGGTGAGATAGCAGTCGTGGCGCCGCGCCGCGACTGCCTTGCGATGAGTCGGATAATTTCCGATATCCAGTTTGTTCGGCTAGCTGACGCTGCCGCGTATGCAAGGGTAGGTCGCGGCGCCGGCGTCAGCCTGCATACTCCACACTGTGGTCGCTGCCAGCTTTTCAGTGAGCGTAAAAGGACGGCGTTGCGCAAGCCAATTTTGGAAGTCAGTTCCGCAGCGGGGGATTGAGTTGTAGCCCCGAACCCTTGTCGTCACTGTGGTTGTCCATGATAGCGATATTATGGATTTTTTTTTGCACACCTGCTATTTCGCGCGCAGTTTCTCTGAGGATGATGGAATAAACTTTTGCCGTTACTCACTCCCTTCCTGGGATGCGACACGCATTCTATTTCCGTACAGGAGTGTGATGTGGCCCATAGAGTGAGTTGCGGGTTTAGCCAGTGCTAGTCGCAGTGCAGTGCACTTATCCTCCCAGACGAATCTGTATCGTCCCTGGACTGAAGAAGGCTTGGTTGGCCCGGGTGGCAGCCGATTACGGACTTCACCCTCGGAATGTGCACGTGATAAACGTGCACGCGCACTGCGTCACCTCCGCTTCTATAGTTTCTTTTATTCTGGAAATGGTGAAGCGGTGTCATCTCAGGTGGGATTCCGAGCCTCGTATCTTGTTTTATGAACCTCTGTCTTCAGCATGTTTTCTAAACGTCTACTTCCTGATATTTAACTTTATTTCGTCCATAAAATCACCGAGACGCAGCCTTTATTCAGCCCACATTTTTCTCAGTTCTTTGAATACGCTTTCAGAAGTTGAGCTCACTAGCAGGAGAGATATTGAACTTCTTTGTATGCCGATTGTTTCCAGAACTAATATGTATTTTCTGTTGCTGAGCCTACTGGCAGTTGGAGCGCTAGCTCAGAATGTCACGCCTTCAAACCCCTTTGCCAACTGCACACTAACTGTTGACATGGTAAACCAGGCCATCAAAAGGATTGAAGCTGATAGACGTAAGTTTCTCACTCTGACATTTATACTAGGCAGGAGACCAAGTCTGCAGTAATCGTCCAATTAGTCATAATTGGGCATTGATGAGTCAGTTCCATAGCCCTGATGATTAATGCGCTGACGTCGGGCAAAACACAGCCCCTGACACGCCCAAGCAGCCGCAGCGGGGAGGACTATAATTTCCGCTTTGATATTCATGACAGTCGATGGAGGTCTATCCGCAACAGTCTCCATAGCGCTCAACGGAGGATGTGGAGTCATACGTGTCATCCCGCGGAGCATGCAAGCCGCCTACAATATTTGGTTTCAGAGTATTTCCCTGATTACGTTGCCGATCCGATCATAAATGCTACGGAACAGGAGAAAGAAGAGTTTGTCAAGTTCGTCAACGATTTAATGAGCGGAAAATTCGCAGGTACCCCTGTGAACGATGTAGAACAATTCCTGCAACTTATCCAAAGAGGTCGGTGCCTTTTAAAGTAGTAACGGATGTGAGAGCTGTGGTAATCATGGATCATTCAGAAAGCGCCCTCTATCTACGCGAAAGGGCTTGCCATGCATAAAGCTTTCATGGAAAAAGTGAGCGGTCTCAATGACGAAGCAAAGGGATTTGTAGAAAAGGTAGGTCCATCAGTTCTCGCACTG